GTGATTATGCTGATAAAGGCGGCAGGTTCTGTACTTGACAGAGAATCCTATTATTTCTTTGGAGGGACTCCATAAGGAGACATAGAAATTGTACAGGCTATTGCAGGTCACATAAAAGATACAGTCAAAGCAACAAGAGAGGAGCATGTTGTGGTTTAATCTGACAGAATCACTTGAGTCCTTTTTGGACTGAAGGCAGAAAAAGCAAGTAAAATAGGCATGCTAACACCCCTGAGGGGGCTAATTCAAGTCATATACGGTGATTTTCAACATTTCCTCCTTTATCCTACTATGTGGTGCTAAATGACATTGTTCAAAAGGAGCAATTAAAGCTGGAAATGTCATGAGTGTTGTAGAGATGTGGTCATAACACATTTTGAATTGATGCCAGTGTTATTCAGTCCTTATTATTTAATTCCATGATGACCATGAAAGTATAACAAAATCATTCATCATTTATTAAGAAGCTGTTGAGGTATATTTTTTAAAGCAAGAAAAAACAATATATCAGTCTTGTAGAGAAACGAAACGTTTGTTTGATTTTTTTTTTTTTATTTCTCATATGATGGCAATGATGATATGCTATGTGCCAGTTTATTGTGAGATGTTTCTCTGAAAAAGTAAAAACTCCTCTATTAAACTTCATGTGGGAACAAAAACTTAATTGTACATTGTTCAAGTAATGCCATGTGCATGGCTCAAAGTGAAAGGATGCACTTAAATGTTAAAGAAAAAGTTCCTCTGTTAAGAACTGTGTATTCAGCCTTTGAACGGAACTAGCAGATACAAATTTGAATGCCTTTGTCCCCAAATCCATTTCTATTCCTCACACTCTGCTCCTGTGAATAAATACCAGCCCAGGAGAAAACACTGAATTGTAGGTGTTGCTCTATTGCATCCTCTGTTTGAAAAGCAATAAAAAGCATTGGAGGATGAAAAATGAGGTGAACTACACAAAGCAAGTTAACAATAAGAAATAATGTTTCAAGGGTGTCAAGAATTTGAAGGCATTTTGGAAGCACATGCTGTTTCAGTAACCCAGTGTACTCAGGCCTTTCCTGTCCCAAGCCCTGATACAGACTTATAAATAGTTCCTCAGGGAATCTGGGAGAAAGGCTCAACAAGGAATGACACAAAAGTCTTTCTTTCAGGTGGCTGAATAAACAATGTCCTTCATATTTGTAAAATTGATTTCCTATAAAATTCAAGTGAATGGCACTGATAACAGCATCTAATCTTCTGGAGCGCAGGCATTATTATATCCTCTTGGAGCACATACAGTCATGGATACTATAGAGTGCAGTATGCAGGGCCTTAGTCTGACCTTGTGTGTCAGCTCAGCACATGACAGAGGGGTGGAGAAAGCACCGTAGGGGCATGGCTCTACGTGTTGCATAGCCAATAAGATCTTGACTGGCCTCACCATTTAGCACCGTTGTGTCCAGATTGTCCAGCTGTTTGATCTGGGCACTGAATGAACTCTACTTTATTCAGAGGAAACAGTGACACTGTTGAAACTTGTAGCCTGGCACCGACCCACTGATTTTTTGTGGACAGTCTGTGAAACAAATGTAGTGTTTCTTTTTTGTATTTTTTTAATATATATCCAAAGCCACTCAGTCCGATTCTGTGATGTCTGCACTGTGTTAACGTCCCTCAGAGACTTTATCTGCAGAGCTCATCTGTCCCTGTTCAAGAGCTCCTGCTAAGGTAAGATCCTTGATATACATATAATATTTGCCAGACATCATTTTTAAAATAATTACTTCAAGAACTAGTCTGTTTCCAGTTGGATATTCATAAAAAATGGATTGCTTTGTTAGTGTTATAACAATACTTATTATGTGAGAATGCAATTTCCCTGAGCAAATATTTAACACATTATTCTCATCTATAATTAAACAGACAAATTCATTTCTGTCTAAAATTGGTTCTAGAAAGCTGGGGTCAGAAAAGGCCTGAAGCGGGCAGAATGAATGAAAAGTCTTCCGCAAAAGAGCCCAATTTGGCACAAATTTAAAATTGCGTGGTTTCTCAACATTATTAAAGGTAATTTCTTTTTTATTTTCATTATTCTTAGTTTGACAATTTAATTCAGGCAACATATGGGTACATAGAGTTGAGACTAAAATTAATTACTAAGAAAAGGAGATACATTTACCAAACTTAATCTTATGAATTCAAATTAAATCAGTTGAGCCTCACATCTTTAAGCACGGGCACCAAATCCTTTTGTATATCTGCTGATGTCCTCTGCTGAGCCCACCCTGCTTTGTGCTGGTATGTGTGTTGTCAAGTGGCACTTTCAGGCCGCCCACTTTGGCTACTTTATTTAGACCTTTACAGCGTGAGGGGAGTTTGTTTTTATACCTCTGCATGTTTGTCTACTCCTTCCTGGCTTGAATGAATTGACTCTCGGCAGTTTTTACTGAATTATTTGATATTTTGCTCTTTATTTTAGAGACAGGCAGTCAATCCTTAGTGAGAACTTATCTGTTTTATTCATTATTTCTGCAGATTTACTATTCTATCCTGGGGTCCTGTCTGTCTTAACTTGTTCCTCCATTTATCATTTAATGTCAACTGCTGAATTTTTATTCTTTAAAAGTACAGATAGCCCTGTTTCTGTTGTAACAACATTTCCCGGCTTATTATCCTGTTGAAGAGTCTAGACTTCATTCAATCTTTTCATTCCCTTTTCTCGTAATTTCATAGTTTCCAAAAGGAGAAGGCTCCTTGATCGATTAAAGGTTAAAACCTTTTTTAAAAAACTTTTACACTTAACCTAAACTAACTCAAATTATTGTTACCTACAGTGTGTTGAACAACATTGATTTTTAAAGTAGCATTTATTAAGAAAGGCCAATAAAAAATGTGGTGCAAACTTAGACATTTAGGCTTTGTAAAATAATATTGCTGTATTGTGGTCACTTCATGGAAAAATCTTTGGGCTGTCACGATGTTATTGGTAAAACATGATTAACTTTGATATGAAGCTAACCAATGGACAGGTAACATCAAACAACACTGAACTTTCTATGGATATGAAAACACAAGATTAAACTGGAAGCAACACATTAAAAAAGAAAAGAAACTATGACAAAATATATATCTATTTTGAGTAGAAAACTAATACAGTTACATTTTCTAATGCTGGTTGCAGAGAACATCATCAGAGTACAGAGCTGCAGTTAGGACACCTTTTTGTTTCCATGTTTGTGTCAGTTTGTGTATGTATTTGTCAGTGCAGAGTCTATGGATAAGCTTTTCAGCACAAAAGTTTTTCCATGCAGCCCTCCCAAAATCCCAATTGCATGTTTCTAAACATAAATGAATGCTCACTGGTTGACAAGTCGGCCAGAACATTGAAGTATGAAAAGTACAGACACAGTGCAGTTGGCTGATGGACCAATTTAATGTTCCTCAAAAACAACAGTCATTTAGCATTTTTACTTGCATAAAAAAAACAAATACTCCTTGTTAGTGATAACCAATAATGTCACACACACAACTTATTTCTTTGATATGCAAAACTGATTTGATTTAGTGGCAGTGTAAGTTCTTATTTCTCTCAGTGTATTGCTGCTGCAAGATAAAGAAGGAGGCACATTTACAGCTGCACAGCAGATGCTAAAATCCCAGCTCAATAACAAAAGTTCTTTAAAACATTAAATATTCACTACGTGCTGCACACAACTGGTTTATCCAATAAGTTTTCAGAGTCCTAACCCAATTCATCAACCAAATCAAGTCCTCCTTGGCTGAAAAACGCTACATCATCAGCCATTCCAGAGCGTAGCCCTGAGCTATTGAGCAGTGTGAATTCAACCTGTGTTCGTGGTCTGATCGATGTTCTCTCTGGATAGTCTCCCCTGTGTAAACAATACAGTAAGTTGTTTGACTCTGCAGATGGACTCGTATTCATCATTTCTAAAGTGAAACTGTGTGAGATCAGCGGGTGGGAGTTTAGTAAATGCATGCAGAGATCAATTCAAAGCAAAGCAAGGCCAGAAATGCCATGTTTAATCTTGAACATAGATATTAAAGTTGGGGAAATGCTTTTGCAACATAATGAATCTTTTCATATACACATGTGGTATCGTCAAAGCAGGGTTACTCAGAAGTTATAGGTCGGTATAGAAGGTTCGTACTGTATAATGCATGACAAAGCTATATGGTGAAGTGGCCAAAAGGGCTGAAATGGCCAAAAGGGCTTCCAAAGAATAGAAAAGCCTAGTTAGCGCTGAGACCAAGGAGCATGAAATGCGTGAAAACATTTTGGAAAAAGGAAAATTAAAATCAAGACTGTGAGACAGTACCTGATGTGTATTTTTTCTAGTTTTCTAAAAACTAAAAAAAAAGTAACATCAACTTACTGAAGGTTAAAAAAAATAAAAGCAAATGTTTATTTGATAAACACAGTGTGAAAATGTGAAAATTACGCCTCTGGTAGAAAATTTGTTAGTTTGATTTTCCTTCTTCAAAAACTGCCATGATAGGCAATGCCAAAGTAAAATGTACTAACAATATTACTAAACAAGAGAGGTGAGCCAGAAACAAAACCACTGCTGGTGTTTGGAAATACTGAAAACATCAAATCTGAGTTCTGTTTGCAAGGTCATACTGGTTAAGATCAACTTGAATATAAAGTTGATCTATTGCTGATGCTTTCTAGTCACCAAACTGATATAAGAATGTTTTATTGATGTCAAATGTTTCAAAGCTGAGGACAAAATATCAAGTTCAAGTAAAAGAGGACAATAAATTGAACAAAGTATCACAAATGACTGTGCAGCTGTATGAAACGGAAAAATGTTTTGTAATTTTCTATGTTTATTGATGGGTTGAATATTTATTAAGCACTTAACGAAATAAAGTTTTTTCAGCTTGTTTGCCAAAGGTCTTCTGTATTCTAATTCATAAACACAAATATAATTTTGTTAAACTGTTTTAAGAATTACAAGCAACTAATCAAAGGACTTTCTCTGTCACTTTGTTCTCTCCTAAACAGTCATTGTATCTGTAAAATTTCTTGAGTTTTAAGAGGAGATTTGCGAAGAACAATGCCACCAGCCGTCGGTGGTCCTCAAGGCTACACACCACCTGAGGGTGGCTGGGGATGGATGGTGGTGATTGGAGCCTTCATCTCTATTGGCTTCTCCTACGCATTTCCCAAGTCCATCACTGTCTTCTTCAAAGAGATTGAGGTGATCTTCAATGTGACAAGTAGCCAGGTGTCCTGGATCTCCTCCATCATGTTAGCCGTCACGTACGGCGGAGGTGAGCTACAGTACCATCCAAGACAAGCAGCTGAAATCAATACCCAGCTCTTAGCATGAACATACTACATTTATTCCTTTAGTGTTCTGTTCCAAATAAAAAAAAAAATCATTTATTTTTGATGAAATACAGGCTTACTGTGTAGCTTTTCAGTCACAGAGAGATCACACATAATCATAATTACTGTGCTGAAAAAATTAAACTGGCAAAACAAAAGTTCAAGTGTTCCATTGAAATGCTGTTGCAACATTATCTGTCTCTGGAGCATATGAATGAGTTTAAGCCTTGCACACCTACCCATTCTTTTCTCTTGTGCTTTGAGACTGGAAGACCACCAGGGGTTTTGTTTGTGTTCTTGCACTGATGAGATGAATGAGACACTTCATGATGTCACTCTGGGCTGGTCAATCAGATGACGATAAAGCCCTTTTCAAGCTCACGATAAATAAACAGAGAGAGATCAGAGTTCAAAGAAGTCCTTCTTGTCCCAAAAGGCCATCTCCTCTCAAATCAAAACACTGCTGTTCTCTTTGCTCTAGTGTGTGATGAACTGGAAAAATGATGACTTAGGCATCTAGTCTCAAGGAAGCTTCGGGAAAGCTGCTTTAGTGTTCCAAACTAATGTGTGAAGTGGGAAGTGTAGCTCCATATAAAATACACTGTCAGTCAAATTTTATACATGGGGCTATGTGTAAAATTGTTTGTAAGATTTGCTAGCAGTAAAATAAAATAGGAAATATGGCCTCACTCAGCTAGCATTACACTGTGTGCATAATGGTGAACATATTGCATCAAAACATCCCAGGTGAAAGCATCCCAAGAAACCAAGGTGCCACATGTCTGTTATTTACTCTGAGTATTAAGTTCCTAAGGCGAACAAAAACTTCACATTCAAGTTAAGTCCTCATTACTGTACAACAGAAGTATCGTGTTCCCCGTGGAAGAAATCAATGCTGCTTATTGTTCAGCAACACTTAACAAGCAGCTGCTTCTGGAGAGTGACATTCAGGCATGCAGGAACAATGGTTTAAGGTTACTGTAACAGTAACTGATTGTTCTCAACTTGCCAATCACCAATCTTTACCATGGTGTTGCTTTTTATTTGTAACACATAATGGACCAAAGTGGATGTTTGTTAATCACTTCTTTTTGTTTCACTTGGCTCTTAGAGCCTCACATGCCCTAACAAGTTATGAGCTGCAGTGTCTTAGTATACGTGGATATGTGTAACTCCCTCAATTAATGCAAATGTTTGATGTAAATATACACAGATGAAGGCAAGCTACGCATAGTAATTGAGAACAGAGAATAAGCAAGGCAATGTTTGTCAGCGCCGTGAGCAGATGACAGCTGAGCCTCTTGCCATCTCTATGTTAAACATTCAGAACACATCAGCAGGAGAAGTTCATTAACAGCCCACTGTTGCGTACCTCTGTACTCCTTCAATTTTTGATTCATTATATTCATAATATTCTACATTGGTTTGTCTCCAACCTTTTTATCATAAGCAACCCACCCTGCAACGCAGAAGGAAAGAACTCATTGTTTGTGAGGAGACTGCCTGCATTACAATTTAAAAACCCTTTGTCTTGCACCGTGCTGGCAAATGAGTCTGGACAACCTCTAAACAAAAACTGTCAGTTTCCATTTGGGTTCATTGGCTAGTGCAGAGATTTGGCAGGAAGGCAGAAGTGTCTTCCATGTGGATCCTCATACTCATTTAGGCTGGTTGTTACATGTCTTAGATGGAGATGGTGTTTTGCGACCCGAGCCCTCAGTGCATTTTAGTCATTTGTCTACTAGTCATAGCAATTTTCCTGAGCTGATTTTGAATCCAGTATGCATGAATCTTAATAAGCTGGTTACTGTTTGCACAGTCAGTCTTTCTTTCTCTATAGCCAGTATCAAAATCTAATATTTATATATGTTATATATATATTTATATATATAACAGAAGATTCAGTGTTATTTTAACCCCAATGTACACACCAGTGAGAAAATCACCCCAGTACACTCACACAAATACCCCCACCCGCTTGTCTGAGCTGAGATATTTCTAATGATCATTTCAATTGTGTTTGGAGTACATTAAAAAGAGCTCCAAAACAAATTATTCTTCTGTCAATTTTTATGAATATCTGGATCAAATAAATGATTATTTCATTGCAGCTTTTGTGGTTTTTCTGACAGATCGCATTATTAATGGCTTGGGAGCACATCTACTGCAGTGCAGCACTGACAAAACTGATTGCTGAAGTTGTTTGAATTTGCTGAGACACAGCTGTGGCACTAGAGCCCTCTGGTGGTTAAAATTAGAATTGTGCCTTTGAATAGATGAAAAACATGTAGCGACATGATATATATGCTATATTTATATATTTACTATATTTGTTCTTTGTTTCTTTTGATGCAGGTCCAATCAGCAGCATCCTGGTTAACAAATATGGGAGTCGTCCCGTTATGATGGCTGGAGGATGCCTGTCAGGATTGGGCCTCATTGCTGCTTCTTTCTGTGAATCTGTTCAAGCACTGTACTTTTGCATAGGTGTTCTTGGAGGTACCTAGTTTTTAACATTTTCAAGTTTGTTTGTTACTAACTTATTTTTTTCGTGCACTGTTGTTTTTTCAAACACTGTTTCATGCTCATTTTTATACATATTTTTACTGAATCTTTCAGGTCTGGGATTGTCCTTCAACCTTAACCCTGCTCTCACAATGATTGGAAAGTACTTCTACAACAAGCGACCTATTGCTAATGGGCTTGCCATGGCTGGAAGTCCTGTCTTTCTTTCTACCCTAGCTCCTATTAATACTTGGCTCTTTGATCAGTTTGGCTGGAGAGGAAGTTTTCTGATCCTGGGTGGCCTGCTTTTCAACTGCTGTGTTGCAGGTTCCCTCATGCGACCTATAGGACCAAAACCCAAGCCTGCAGAGAAGACCACAGAGAGGAAGACTGTGTTGCAGACCATTAACAGCTTTATCGACCTCACTTTGTTCAAGCACCGTGGCTTTTTGCTCTACATAGTGGGAAATATTGTCATGTTTTTTGGCCTCTTTGCACCGCTGGTGTTCCTCTCTAATTATGCCAAGAGTAAAAACATTGCCAAAGAGAAGGCAGCTTTTTTACTGTCTATCCTCGCTTTTGTTGACATGTTTGCCCGACCCTCAATGGGCATGGTGGCCAATACCAAGTGGGTCCGTTCCAGGATACAGTACTTCTTTGCTGCTTCAGTACTGTACAACGGCGTGTGTCATGTCCTAGCTCCAATATCAGAAGATTATACAGGCTTTACCATTTATGCCATCTTCTTTGGGTTTGCTTTTGGCTGGCTGAGTGCAGTGCTGTTCGAGACGTTAATGGACCTAGTCGGAGCGCAGCGTTTCTCCAGTGCTGTTGGGCTTGTCACTATTGTTGAGTGCGGTCCTGTATTATTAGGTCCGCCGTTACTTGGTGAGTACCCCACTAATGATAATAACTACTTACTATATACTTATATACTTACTATAACTACTTACTATACTAATACACTTGTATATATAAGTTATACAGTGGATTGTTAAGCCACTACATAAGTGCTTAATTTTATTTTTTAACTGGCTAGCAGAGGGCACTCCTTGAGTCTCAATAAGAAGTGCAACTGTATAAAAAAATGGCCTTGTTGGTCACTCAATCTTTTACTTCAGTAAAGACTTCGCTTATAGGTTTATGGTCTCAATCTCTAGTTTCAGCTGTTACACAACACAATATTGTCTTCATTTTGTAATTTTGATTTAGACTGCTAGATTATCCATCCATCCATTCCAGCTGTCACTGGGCGTGAGGTGTGGTCTCCCCAGACAAGTTACAAGCCCATCACAGGGGCAACACATAGACCCTTACACTGTTCCACTAGAATAGACTATCGCACATTATGTCATTGAGTGTAGTACCTTGTAAGTGAAAAGCCATGAGCATGTAGGGTCTGTAGTTTTTCAGTCAGTACCAGCCCTTGCACTACTATCAAAACACACAAAGGGTAACAGCTAAAATATCCATCTGAACAATTCTGAATGTGAGTGCACAAACCAAGACTTACATTTTTTATATACAGTTTATGCACAGAAACAGATGATCCTGTATGATGTCGTTTTGTCTTCACAGGGAAGTTCAAAGATGTCTACCATGATTACAAGTACACCTACCAGGGCTGTGGGATCATCCTCATAGTTGCTAGTGTCTTCCTGTTTGCAGGAATGGGGCTGAACTATCGGCTGCTGGACAAAGAGAAAAAAAAGGAGGAGAGGAGAGGAGTGGTGGGAGTTGGAGAACAAAAGTCCAACAGGGACAATGCTGCCAAAGAGGTGGCAGAAGCTAGGAATACAGAGGACACTGTATAAAGTCCTGCATCAAGTCAATTTACAACATGGGTCAATTTATTGTCCTTAGTGAGGTAATTTTTCATCAAAAGAAACATGCTTTTTCAACAGGCAACAATAGCATTAATTCCTCATCAGTTTGATTATGCATTGTTTTTGAAGCCCACCATAGAACTCATAGCCACAATTATAAAAGTCCTTTAAACACAAATACACAATCCTCATTAAATATATACCTCTTATATTTATACTTAAACCTCATAAATATATTAAATAAGCAATTTAAATTACGTCTGTCTTATTGATAATATCATTATAACATTCTTTATAACTTTATTTCCTTTAGCATGTTAACCTTCTGAAATGTACAATCACATAATGAAAGTGTTTTGCTCTCGTTTGTTTGCTGTTACCAGTAGAAAGCTTTATTTTTAAGAGACACTTTCTCTTTTCTCACTTCTCTCTCACGACATTTATAAGACAGCATGAGCTTTCCAAGCACATCACAGCAAAGTGCAATTTTTTTTAACTTTTAGAAGTATCACCCATGCCACTTTGTTTATTCCATAAGCACATTCATTCTCATTCTAAATTCTTTTAAATGTTATTTTTTTCTGGTTCATTGTTGATAATGCATTATGCCAATTATAAAATAATTCTGATGTTTAGCGGTTTGCCTTATGATGGAAAACATGCCACTGACTGCAAAAAAAGGAATTTTGTGGAAAAAGTCAAATAAAAGGCTGTTTAACAAGGATGCAATACTCCACTGTGTCTTGTGTCTTGTTTTTTCTTGAATCTAAGATAGAAATATGGTATGATATTTTTGTTATGTGCTGACATAATTTATTTAAAAATTAAATCTTAACGTCAGGAAAAAAAAGAATAATTCTACATTATTATTTTGTTTGTAATATTTTTTACATATCAGTTTTGATACAAGAGTTCAGAGAATAATTAATATTCTCCACTATGTACCAAACTGATTGATGGTTTCAAAGATACAAAGTGCTGTTCTTATATGATATATATCACCTCCAACTGCATATCTGTGCTAAATTAGACCCTTGACTATAACGTATTACCTTCATTTTTCATTTTATAATATAAAATTTTTCTTTATTTTGCCAATTTTACACATTAAATATTAATTAAAGGGACACAGCATCCGCCCACCAAAAAACAACTTAATTTTGTGTATATACCACTGCTACCACAAACATTATTCTTATATTATTCTTATTATTCTTATTCTTATTCTTCTTATTATTATTATTCTTATTATTATCAAGAAGAAGAAGAAAAATAAGATAATAAAAAAATTAAGTATGATATTTAAATAAACCTGAACGACAGAAGAATAGTCTTCACTTAAACAGTTGGTCAAGAGTCCTTCCTCGCCTCGTGCAGGGTGGTCGCGTTATAACCGTTAACCAAGTTTAACAGGTAACGTTTAAAAAAAATGTCATAGTTTACACGTAGTACCTAGTAAATTACCACATTGATGTTTATTAAGTAACATTCTAAACTACTGACTATTATTATTGGTTTTTTATCTTGTATTTTGTGGGAATTAACGCTGCTCTAATATACCGGAGGTAACTGTTAGCTGTTGTCTGCGAGCCTAGTTGACTCACAAATAAAAAGCTAATTACTGTTAGCTAACTAGCTAATGTTTAGGGTTATTTGACTTGTGAATATTAGGTAAAAAGGGAAGATAATAGTTATTTGTAGTCTTCTGGCATTTCTGTGGTGTTTATTAAAGATGTCTTGGTTTAAAACACGGCATTATTAAATAACTAGGTTATTGCTGTATGGCTATTCCAGAATGGAGAGAGATCAGCGTTTTAGCTTCAAGCTGTTGGTGCCTCCCAGGGTGAATAACGGACCAATATCTGCGGTTCAACCTCAAGAAATAGTTGAAGACAGAGGCAATTTCATGAAAGCATTGCAACCTGTAAGTCAATAAATAGTTAGTTATAATTAGTTAATAATTAGAAGCTAAGCAATGATGAAAAAACTCAAAGCACCACTATGCTAGCTCAGCAGTAACTATTTAACCTTAGCAATGACCATTGTATGTGCGTTGTCAGCAGCATTCTATGAGGCAGTAATTATTAACACACATGACATTAAATATTACTGCTCTTTTCCACCAGAGTTACAGTGAATGCTTTGACAAAGAGAAAAACATCCTGTCCCCCAATACAAACGTGGTTGCACCAACTAAACCGCCCAAACAAGGTATTTGTGTGTCTTTGTGTTATTTAACAACACCAGTTCTATCACTTCCAACAGAAGAACTGCACTATAAATATTAAACTAATTATTGTTTCCCACTAAAGACTTTCTGAAGATGAAACTCATGCAACCAATGGAGAAAGACGGGGTAAATATTTCTATTGCACAGAAATGTGCAGCATGAATATGTCTGTGTGTGTCATTTTACTTCCTAAACTGTGGATGTTTTCCAGAATAATTGCAATCCTGGTCAGCTTTATTCAAAGCTGTTTGATGAAGTTGAGAAAATTAAGTGTTGGAAGGTTAAAGTTTATTCTGACACTGTGGAAAAGGAAAGAAGGCTCCAAGATAACAAAAGAACAATTGAAACACAGCGCAAGGCAATTCAGGAGTTGCAGGTGTGTACCCCACAGACTGATCTTATTTGATCTTATGCTTATCTCTGTCTATCTACTTATGTACAACATTTACAACAGGAAGAGATAACTTTGAATTCTTTAATGTATTTTCTGTCTGCAGTTTGGAAATGAAAGTCTCAGCATAAAGATGGAGGAGCAGATTAGTGAAAATGAAGAACTGAGAAACAAGTATGTGTGATTTGTGAAACTAAGATAAATATGATGATCTGATTACATTTAGCTTTGTTTTGTTCCTTTAATTGTGAAATGCTAAAAACTCAATTTTTAAAATGCAGAAACAATTCAACATGGAACTTGTGCAATATACTCAAGGAAACCTTTGACTCGTCAGTTGAGAAAATACATTTATGTAAGTAAAAATTCTGGTGATCTGGAGAATACTTTTCTTTATCAGCTTTAGTAAGTGCAGAAATAAACGGTACATTGCTGTGAATGTTTTGCAGTTGAAGCTGAAAGAGAGGAAACCCACCACCTCCTTACTGAAAACAACGAAAGCGTTAAGGTAAAACACCACAAAATATTTGCCAGTAGTAGCTTTTAATTTATTATATTTTGTTGACCAAAACATTGTAAAATGATGAGGTTTGATTGCCAGTTTATTACTTTTTCATTTAGAAAATGATTGCCGCATTTGAAAGCCTACGTGTCCGAGTAGAAACTGATCAGCAAGAGATGCAGAAAGGTATATATATACATTTCTTCTTGCCGCTATTACGCCAAAATGTTATGTCTTTTACTCAATAAAATGCCTTAAATGTATTTAGGCTTTAAGTGGAACTAGATGAATTAGTGACACTTTGACCATCAACACAGCATGTTTTATTGTTTTTTCAGTCAAAGAAGACTTACTGCAATTTGACCATCTACAAAAGAAATATCAGCAGGAATTTAAGATAAAACAGGAAGAGGTTGGTGGGGGCAAAAAGCCCTTCCATCAGTTTATTTGAGGAACTTTTGGCATGAAATATATTTCCACAAATTTTACAAATTTTGACACGTTAATGACTGACATGTTCTTTACAGATAACCATGCTTCAATTAAAACTTAAGGATAAGGAAACCCAACTACAGAAACTCCTGCTGGACCTCGATGAAACTCAGAAGCACTGCAATGAACTTCAACAGTCAACAAGTAACATCATAATTAGATCTGAAGATAAGCTGTGAATGTTGATTTTATAAACTTTGCTACACTGGTAATAAAAACAGTGTGTTCATAACAAGACATTTTTTAAATATTACTCAGTATTAAATATGCAGAAGTATTAGAGTCATGACAGTATATTTGGATAGATGCTCATTAACATGAGAAAAGGTGCTTAGTATAAGGTGAAAATGTTTTATTTCTTTTCCAGACTTCAGGTCAGGTTAGTACACTTTGTTTTGGGGATATTAATATTATATATGTGCTTTTATAGATCATCAATTTGAAGTTCTCAAAAGTGCAAAAGCTGAACAGGAATCTCTTCTTCAACAACTGAATATTGCTGAGCAGCGCTGCAGAGAGACTGAGGTGAGTATCTTGAGATTCTTTTCTTTGTACTGAAATTGGGCTCTTGTGTTGCATGCAATATGCTTTAACTGAAATATTAATAACCCAACAAAGAAAAATCAGGAAACTACTGCTGCAGCCTTGGAACAAAGTAAAAAAGAGTATGCTGAGGTCATCCAAAGCAAAGATCTCAGTTTACAGGAGCTCAACAGAGTCAAAAACCAGCAAGCAGAGGAGCTAGAGTGCATTCAATCAACCATTCAAGAGCTAAAGACTTCACTAGCACTAGAGAAAGAGAGGTATATTAAACTCCTTCATTCACAGTGTTTTCTAGATAAAGTACAGTGTTTCCTCATGTCATTATATTCTTGTTTTTACTTTTCTGAAGGGCCAAAGAGCTTGAGGATAAACTTATAGAAAACAACACTGAACTTGAAAGGAGAAACACAGTTTTAGGTAAGTCCCACCGGATAACATGTGTTGATATTTTTAGGTGATGTGGTTTCAAGTCGAAAGAAATATTTTACTCAACAGGGGAAACCTTCGACCAAGCTACAAAGAAAGATGGCCTAATCCAAATTCTCAAAGATGAACTGGTACGGTTCATTTGAAGGGAAAGTGTACGATTTCTCTCTAAAACCAGTCTTTGCATGCCCAAGTCTGTTACATACCTTCAAAACAATATGTGTTCTTGTTATTAGGACACAAAATCTAAATCCATTGAGTCAGTGAAGGCTAAAATTCAGTTCACTCAAGCTAAAATGGAGGAACTCATGGCTGAGCTTTTAAAGAAAACTGAAGAAATCCACTTGGTTAAGGTGATATAAGTAGATAAATAGATACATAATGCAAAAAGAAAAGACAATCTGTATCAGATAGCCTATTAAAGATACTTAAAATTGTTTGTCCTTTTTCCCTGATACAGAAAGAAGCAGAGAATGCTTTTGCTGAAAATGATTCACTGAAAAAGTCTTGTGAAGCTGCTGAAAAGGAAAAAGAACATTTACAGGAGAAGTCCACTTTGACTCAGGTATTTACATGTTTTTAATTTTGTTTCTCATCCCCTCACCTCTTATCCACTAGAGAAAGCTGTTTATGTGTTTGGTAGTAAAATATATTCATTGGGTTGAAATATACAATGCATTGCTTCTCTGTAATATACCTGCAGATCAAAGTGCAGGTGCTGGAGGAACAGCTGTGTACTGAAATGAAGAAAAATAAGGAATGCAATGTTCAGATGGAGCAGCTGAGGAAAGACATTTTGCAAAATGAGTGAGTTATTAATAGACAGCCATTTTATCATATTAGCATATATAATATTTTATTACGCTGTTGTAATATGTTTCATTTTTTATTTATGTCATTTTTAAGAGTAAAGTATGAAGAGTTATTATCAAACTTTAATGAGCTGCAGTCTGAGAAGACAGCCATTCAAGAGCAGTTTGAAAATGGATTATCTAACGTGCAAACTATTGAGGCAAACATGAAGGTCTGAATTTTATTGTATTATTGTCATTTTTATTATTATTTGTATTATTATTAATTCATTCATTATATGAATCACAAATTCTGAAAACTGTTTTGACTCAGGTGAGTGAGGAGAAGGCATTAAAACTCGATGGAGAAATTCAAACGCTGGTGGAAGAAAACAAGACTTTACGGTGAATATTCACTTCAGAGGCTTAAAGATACTTTTTCCTGATTGGAATGTACAGTTTTTGAGATTTAAATATTAATTTTCCATGCAATAGAGATGAGTTAACTGCAGTCAAAACCAAAATCCTGGGGAAATGTGTACAAACAGAAACTCTGCAGAAGCAAATTGAAGAAAAGGTAAGCATCTTAACTAAATTATTAGCAGAAACAGGGCTTTATAAAGATGCTTATTCTAAACATGTTCATTATGACTTCTTTATGCTCTGTGTGAACAGTATGAGCAACTTCAGGTGAAAATCACAGAAAAAGAAAAACAGATCAAAGCTGTGGAAACAAAGGTGAGTGAAAAATGTGAAATTGCAAATACTGTTGTTATTGATCATTTTCTGGAACTAAACAAAAAATCTTTGCTTTTTAGCTGTGCAAACTCAGAAAACAATATGAAATTAAATTTAAAGCCCAGGAGGAATACAAGAAAGAGGTTTGTAATGACCATGAAACTCTAGCTATAAAAGGAGTGGAATGGTATTTATTGTCCTCACTTGTATATTTTCAGAATAAAATGCTTAAGAAACAAATGGCACAGGAGATTGCAAAATCCAGTGACCTTGAAACAACGGTATGGGGATGGTTTGCTTTGTGTTTTTATTTTCCAGTTGTTAATACGTATGTGAACTATTTAAGCTAATCAGTATTAGACTGGAAAATTAAGATGCTGCTTTAATCTTTAGATCAACAGCCTTCAAAATGAGTCCCAGAACCTTAAACAACTCAAAGGAGAAGAACATGAGAAACTGCTCAAGGCTCTTGAGTCAAAATCGACTTTTGCAGCAGAACTTGAGAAAGAGGTTACTTTTTTACTTTTCAATTTGTAATTTCAATTTAATTAACATTTACCTCCTTCAAATTGAATTTACAATAATAGAACCAATTTGTGTTATAGGTCCAGAAACTTAGAATAACAGCAGCAGAAGCCATTAAGAACAAGGAGGCCACAGAACTTAAATGCCAGCATAAGATTGGAGATATGGTCACTCTGATGGAAAAACATAAGGTAAAGTTATTATAATGGCCTTTTTGCTGTCTGATAAATATGTCTCATGTATATTGTGTTGGAATGAACCCAACTTGTCACTACCAGAGCCAGTATGACCGGATGGTCCAAGAAAAGGACGCAGAACTTGAAGAGAAGAAGAAGAATGAGATGGAGGCGACTGCTCGTGAAAAATCACTGGTACCAAGAAACATGCTAAGTAGCACTAATAATGATTGACCAGAAAATATGTCATATCCTAACATTTGCATCACAAATTTCTCTAAATCAGGAATTGGACCTCTCAAAGCATAAGTCTGAAAATGAGAGGCTGAAGAAAGAGCTGAAGGCAGAAACAAGAGAGAAGGTATATCCTACTTTAAATCAGTTTATGTTGGATTTATGAATACAGCTGTTTGTTTGTCATACTTCTGAGAGAGACAGCTCACAATGTAACAAACACTTTGAATTTAGAAAAACCTCAGAAACAAAACAAGTGATCTGAAGCAGGAAATGTCTGTTGTGAAAAGCACTCTGCTGTCACAAGGGAGCGACAAACAGGTACAGTGCATGCAGCTCATAGGCTGCCACTAGATGGCATTCTTTGTCATTACTTTTAGTTGACCCAAAATTGTATGTGTACAATTTTACAGGTACAGGTAGCTGCCTCAAACTATAAACAAGGGAAAAGTTCAGAGGTTCCAAAAGAGAACTCTTCAAAGAGTCACACATTTGACGTCTTCAAGGCCAAGAAAACTTCCTCCTACAGCAAAGATGGTCAGAGTTTGGCCACTCGTACAACATATGTGAGTTTTATCGACCAAAATGTTTTCAACAGATTAAGCACGTTTTGTTTCAGACATTTTTGTTTAAGGTAAGCTTAGAAAATCAGATGATTAAGGTTTTTATAACTACAGATTTCTCAAAATAGCCTTTTCTACTTCAGATATAGTACATCCTTGGTTTTGGGTATTATGAAAAATAAATACAACCCCAATTGAATTTGCTGAACTGGTATTTATTAGAAAAATAATCCATGGTACCAGGTTATAGGTAAAGACAAAAACAGAACAACATTCAGCTGAGTCAGGATCAGCCGATATTTGGTCTAAGTGATTGGTGGATCAAAACGGACAAATAGATTCATTTATTATTTTTCCATAATATTTGCAAAGATTTTAATTGCCATTTTTTGGTTTGTTTTTTTTGGTGGACATGGTGTTTTAGCCTTTCAATTTGTAGCCCTATAGCTATTCATAATGTTTATTATTCACCTGGATTTTATTTAGAGAAAGAAAAGAGATTTTAAATGTATTTATTGTGTATGAGTAAAAAAAGTTATATATTCATATGTTTGAATGAGGTCTCAAATGTGCCATGGGAACTAAAAATGCACCAGAGTTGACAGATTTATTTAGAAACCATCAATTAACAAGAATAGCAGTGTGAATATGAGCATGGGTGTTACGCATTGGAGAAAACATTTAAATTCATGAAGAGCATCTCTCAGAGATTAGTAAGCTAGCAGCTTTTATAGGGCCTGAGAATACTGGCGCCAGATACTCTTAGTCAGTTCACATGGAAGACTCTGCTAATAATTGCCTATAGCTGTAGGGAACGACTGCAAAACTTTGTGTGTGAGTGCAAAGCAGTACAATGTAACCTTATTACCACAGCCTTTTTCTAAAGCAACTTTGTTTGAATTGTTGTTAAGGAATCTGCTACTGAATTTATCAGAGCATCATGTGGAACACCAAAATCCAAGGTAGACTGCAATTTAACCTATTCATAAAGTAGATATATAAAATGGCTATAGTGACAGAATAAATTATAACATAATTCATGTATCGATATGCTTTTATTTACTTTAAGTTTTATGATAAATGATTGCACTGACTTTGAATTGTAGTGCATCAACAGTGAAGACATGAAAACCCCAAGAAGTCTTACAAACCATATTGCTGGAACAACAAAGATCAAAGTAATATAGTATACCATTCTGACATTTTCCAAAATTGAAAAAATATGAATATATTCACTGACATTTACTCCCCTATAGTCCTACAGAATAAGGACTCCCCCTTCTGAACAGTCAGCACAGTGGGGAAAGAGCGCCATTGAACTTGACCCCAAGTCTGACAGCTCAGATCAAAATGATCTCTTGGTAAGCAATGTTTTTTTGTTTTTGTTTTTTCGGGTTGGGGGGTGGGGGCTTGTTAATATTTAAAAAAATAATGGCATAAACCTTGCAGGTTATGTGAATGTGATTTTACCATTTCTGCAAATTCGCTAGGACAGATTAATGTGTATTCCTCTGTTTCTTGTCTTGATAGACCTTTACAAATACACCTGCACATAAAAGTTCAGATTCACAATGTAAACTCCACATTCTCAAAAAGGTAATGTGCCTTTATGATCCAACAAAGTGGCATATAATATACTTACTTTGATTTTTAAAAATCCCTATATGTGTGTATGTGTGTGTTATTTTTACAGAATCAGAGCCCACTCATTCATAAATCACCAGGAAACTCCTTAAAGCTGGCCGCAATGAAAAGAATGAGAGATGCTGGTTGGACAGCTGTTACTGGCTGTGACAAAAAAAAGAAGAAGACCAATGAGAAGATTTTTGCCTAAGTATGGCTGTTAGGTCAGATTAGCAGTAATAACAATATTGGTAGAGGTGGGTGACTTGAAATACAGTTCTATTGAGAATGAATAAATAATACACGATTGACTGAATAACAAATAGACTAAAAATAACACAAAAACATGAATGGAATATGTTTCTATGGTTCAACTAAAACATAGTGTCAATGAGAAGAAGGTTTTGGTGTTAAGATGCCAGCTTTTAGTAAGTTTATTTATGGGTGTTTAGGATTAAATTTCTACCTACTACAGAGTCAATGTCTTTACTTATGTATTACTTTGCTGTTGTGCTAATGTTTGGAATAACTCATCTTTAATGTTAACGTGAAATCTAATATGTTCTATCACAAGGTTATGTTGCTGATCTTTGACAATTTCTAGTTGTTACAAGTTACTCTGTTAATATATTTATGTATTCTGGTGTTGTAAAAATAAAAGCAATGTTCTCAAAAATCAGTTTTGTACTTGTTTGCATGTCCTACCTATTCTCATTTTCCTTTTCTAAGGACCACTTTTCTCTTATAAAGACCATCATAGGAGTTGTATTTCAGTCTTGAAAGTATATTGGTTACATTAGTTCAGTACATTGGTTTTACCCACTCCTAAACTGTAGATTTCAGACTATAGAAACTCTGTGTCTTTAATGGAGAAACTCAAGGTGGAATTGAGACTGGTCTGCAGGAGCTGTTGGTACGTTGTCGTAGATTGGATGGCCATCATAAAGTCCTCCAGAAATAACGAGTGTGTCATCATCTGCCACAAATGTATCTGTTTAAAATTAGATTAGTATTTTTAATTGCCAATAGTAAATAAAAGGGTTTGAACTAATTGTTTGATGAAGGAGAGTCCCTTACCTGTGTATTGAGCATTATTGAGAGGTTGGTGCAAGTACTGTATTTTCTGTTTGCATTTGTGAAACATAAGAAAAACCAACAACACAGCAAATGCTCCAAGTACAGTGCTGAAGACAATAGTCATATTCCTTTCAGAGACATTGAGGCCCACATCTAGCAACAAAGTAAAACAGCAAGAATTACCATAATCAGCAAATTATATTAAAAAAAAATGAATAGTTGTTGATAAAACTGCAGATAAGAATGGAGCCTTATGCTTACCTTGTCTGGTTCTGTTCATGGTAGTATGAGTTGCATTTTCAGTTGTAATTACTGGAGTACTTGGTGTACTTGAGTTATCTACTGTGGTCTTGATTGCTGCCGTTGTTTGTGCAGTAAATGTTGACATTTGAGTGCTAGAGCTTGTAGTCCTCAGAGTTGTACTGTTTGTTAGAGGAGTCAAGGTGGTTGCTGACTGAGAAGTCTGGTAGTGACTTGTCCTCTCGGTTGTTGCCGCAGTGGTGCTAACGACAGTTTTGTTATCCAACTGTGTGCTGGTATATAGTGTTGTCTCCTCAGTCAAATTTGAGATTGGTGAAGTAGAGTCAGACTGAGTTAGTGTCGTAAGGGTCGTTAAGCTAAAGGTTGGTTGAGGAGTGCTAGTCCCATTTTCTGTTTGGGCCACACTGAACAAAAGGGCCAGATGGCAGTAAGCCAGGGCAGTAAACTTTACATCCATGGCCTTTTAATCTGGAACTAGAAAGAAAAACATTAGCTGAAATCAAGACTGAACAAGACTAAATGTGATCTTTTTAGTTAAATTACACAAACATGTAAATCCCTCTTGTGAAATTTTAAGTAAATTCAAACCGTTTAAAAAACTAATTCTAAAAAAAAGAAAGAAAGAAAAACCAGCTCACCTTGTTTAGTTAATAAGAGTGAAAGCAGCAGCCTAGTTTAGTTTAATTCTCTGGTTGAAAGTGTGCCTCCATGTCTCAACTGACTGTTCACTTCCTGGATTGAAAGTGGCTGATACTATGGCAGGTGAATGTGGGCAGGGCAGTTTTACCCTTAAACTTCCTCTACTGTTTGTTACTAAGGAGACAAAGGCATTGTTGTAAGTCGGTCCAGAGATCAGCGTCTGTTTCTTTATGGGAAACATATTTTACAAGCCTTAAAGAGACAGTTACCAAAATGACAATACAAAAGACAATACATTTATATATATATATAGAGAGAGAAAAAGGTGTGTGTGTACAGTTCATGCACTAAAGTTTTTAGAGTTTTTTGTGTATGTGTGATTTAAGGTTTTTTTTTTTACTGAGTACACTTTTTTTACAAAATATTTTATTGACAAATTTGTTACCAGCTTGTACAGGCAGCTCATAAAGAGTGCAATAGTTTCCATATAAAAGCAACTCTGTAATAAACAAACAGCCATTGTTCATGTTTCAAAACACTTCCTTCAAAACAGTAATCACACTGTACAGTAAAAGTGAACAATACTCCAATATGTATCTCTGTGTCGGCATAAAATTAAGTGCAATGTTCAGATAGATTATGAAACTGTAATCTGGTATCAGCAATTATAAAGGGCGATAAATGGAATAACAAGGTTGTCTAAGTGAACATGAAACGGGAACATCTCAGCCCATGGGGAGCAGAAGTTGTGGGCATCTGACTTGAATAAACAATGATTTCTTTTTCCATCATTGTATTAAATACACTGTTTCTGTCTTGTTGAAATATGTCAGTAACATAAATACAATGATTTCTTGAGTGATTCAATTTTAGATTTTCGACACATGATTAGTATCAATATAAATACCATTATCATCAGATGCTAATAAAGGGGTTTTGCTTGTGCTTTATGTGTGTGAGTATATTTTCTTAAATTTAATTAAAATGACCCCAAGACAGAATATGTCATTGATAGACTAATATTATAGTCTTGTGTTTTTTTCAACATCTTTGCTCATCACGTCGTCTTCTTTGAATCCTGGGTTGTCAGCTCCCATGCAAATGTTTGCTGAAGGCTTCTCTGTGATGTCTGATTCCTGTATTGGGTTAAAAACATATTATATTTATAACACCAAATTTTTGTGTATTTTGGAGAGGGTTGCTGATATGTTCTTCCTTTGTTTGTTAGGGGGTAAGCATCATACCTTTGACTTATTGCACCAGCTGAAGCAGATTAAGTCATTCTTCCTCACAAACAGCTCTGAGTTCATCTTGTCTTGCTTACATCCACCTGTATATGTATAAAAAAAAATACATACTCCCTCGATTTTATCCTTGTTTTGATATAATTGAAATACCATAATATTATGGACTAGATTTCTGCAGTGCTTAAAGTAAAGACTAAAAAGTAATATCTCACCTGTGATCACGCTCACAAGCAGGCCAGACACAATTGTGGTCAGAACGCCCAACAGAGAAAAGTAGACGTAAGACAGAGAGTACCAGGTGTCTGCTAAAGGAGGCCTATAACTGAAATGAACAAAAATGACTCATTTTAATATACTTGGACTATATATAAAAATTTATGTTTAAAGCAGACAACTGTTTTCAACTGTTGACAACTGTGTTATGATGATCTAATGTTGGCAGTGTTTGTTTTATGTGTGACTCCTCCCACCAGAGGATGGCTGTGGGTTTTTTCCCCTCTCTCTTAGGAGGTGGACACCTGGGCGTGCCTGCTGAGTAGTTGGGTGGAGTCTCTTCCTGTCCTTGGATTAGATAATTGGCTAATCACCTCCCATACTTAACTACCGGATGACAGCCACCTGGCCCCCTCCTCTCTCTCCTAACCTCCACCATCCAACAAAGAACCTGTGTTTTGATTCGTTGCTGTGTAGAGTTTCTTTGACAAAGTGATTTGCAAGTATAACCTCGTGTGTGTGTCTGGCGTTAGTACCTCAATTTTGTAAATAGCTGTAAATAGATTTGTCAAGTAGCAATCGTGTATTTTGTTCACCTTGTATATATCCTTCACTGCAGCAGCCTAGTAGGCGTGAGAAGCCATTTTTGTTGATTACGTTTTCTCCTGTTTTTCATTTACTTTTTCATTTTTCATTTACTTCACTTTTTTGTAGTTGATTCGTGAGATTTAATTATGCCTTTTTAGACAGCTATTAAACAGCTGTTGTTGTTGTTTTTTTTTTTTGTTAAATAAAAGTTTACTGTGATTTTTACTGTGTTGCTGAGTAGCAAAAGAAGGTTTTGCATCAGTCTTTTATGTAAAATGACTCACTCAGGCTCTGGGGTCAGAGTCACTGGACTGGTCCAGGGAGTTATTGTTGTATAGTTTTGGCCTATTGTGTTGTTGCAGCCTGCAGTGGTGAGTGGAAGAGGATTTGTCTTTTCAGCTGTTGGTGGGTAAATCTGGCCTCCGATCCCCACCCACAGAGTCAACACTAGACCAATGATCATTCCCACAAGTCCTCCCTGAAAAGTAAATATGAACACAGTGAACTACTTTCTCTAGGACGTCACATTTTTATTACTTTGGCAATATTTTTTTTTATGTGTTATCAGGTTGTGCAGTTGTGCTAGTAGAAGTCTGAGGGCAAGGAAATACTCACTATTGAGTTTGATGTGCGAAAAAACATGCCTAATAGATAGAGACCAAGGAGCGGTCCGCTTATCATGCCAAATATAGAAAGAGCAGCCTGAAAAGAAAAGGGGGGAAAAAAGACAAGAAAAGAAAAAAGTAGTTTACCCTGTAGTTTGCAACTTTCACCTCATGGTGAAGCTGAAGAGCAATAAATGACTGCAGTAGTTTGTGTTCATGGTGATTCAGATTACCTGCAGGACGCTTCCCATCAGGGAAGCTACTCCAGCCATTCCAATACACACTCCTCCAAAGAAAACACCTGCGAGTAGAAAAATATAAAAGATCCAGATTACAACGTTCGCAGTGCAAATTCAGTTGTTCAGATAGGCAACATGTTTTACAGTTTTCTAGAACACATGTTATTATGGTTATGCACACTTAACTCTGTTTAAAAGCAAATGTTTATTTGGGTTTTTTTTTCTTCATATAATTCAATTTATCATCATAACTTATGGAAAAATAAGTCCACAAAGGTGATGTGAGGCCAGTAGAAATCATGTTTTTTTCCTACCATAAATGATTTAGCACTTTAAAATGGACTGCAAGGAACAAGATCATTGTGACCTTGTGCAAAAACAGCATATTGATCCATACTAAAAACTGTCTGTATGACATAAAGAAGAAAAAGATAAGCTATGTGCTGCAAAAATATTTTCATAAATGAACGACCTACACCATAATTACACCTTCTGAAAACAGTAACAGTACCGACTGTTCTGTTAGGTCTGTTAATATAAATTATTAACAATTGTTTTTTACGACTTCATGACTTGTCTGTTTGCTGAATTGACAAGACTTCCTTTGTTCAGAGGTATTTCGCAGGCTCAAATGATTATCTATGATATATTTCTAATCATTTCATAAGTTATATGGAGGAAATGCTTTGAATCCTTTGCTTAAAATAGCAAGATAAGATTGTTATCTCGATGTCACTTGCTCTCTTGCAATCTCAAAGGGTCTGGGATAATAGGAGTCTGAACAGTTGTTGGTGACTACTTATAAACAAAGAGCTGTAAAGTCTTATTATTAAGCTGCGTTATTACAGACACGATGAAGCTTTTATTCGGGGTTTTCAATTCAATTCACTTTAATTAATATATATAGCGCCAAATTGCAGCAACAGTTGCTTCAAGGCTTTTTTGGACTATTTTGGAAGTTTTTTGTTTCTGCAACTTACTCAGGCCCATGTTCATCCAGCTCACTTGCTTCTGTGTGAGGTCTTTGTACACTGGTAGAATAAAGTCTTCTACCGTGACAGCAACTAGGGCATTAATGCTGGAAGACACTGTGCTGAAAAATATACAAAGGTAAGCTTTTAGACTTGGAACACAACAGTCAGGCTGATGCATTTAAAATGATAATTACACACAGAGAAGCTAGTTTCAGGCAACAGATGGTACTTTATGGCATTATCTATGTCTAGTAATGCAAATGCAAAAATATTATCCTGTTCACTACTTAGTGACTTTTTCTCAGGCAGCAACAAAGGCAGTTCTTTTCTAAGAATGTTAATTTATCAGGTCTTGATCCCTGCACAGCTCTAAAATAACATGTTTTTGCATGTCTAAGGCTCTCACCTCAGGGTACCACTGTATGCTGCAGCCACAAACAGGCCTGGAATTCCAGGGAAGTCTGCCAGAATATCCATCACAAGGTATGGGAACAGCTGGTTGATAAATATAACCCATGTTTTGTTACACATAATGCTTTGTTGCACAATAAAAGGAAAGGTGGTGAGGACTAAAGAGAAAACTGCAGGTTTACTTACTTGGTCAGGGGTGGCAACATCACCGTTTGATAGTGGATCACAATTCTTGTAAATGGAGTACATGGTGAGACCAGAAAACACAGCCAGAGTCACAGTTATCCACAAGCCAACCATATTCACATACAGAGACCTGAAAGATGAAAAAAGACATGTCAGCACATAAAATTTTGCTCAGACTCAGCAATGTACTGTTTGTATTGAATTACAGGAACGCTCACATTTTGGCATGTCCCAGGGTTTTGCAGGAGATATAACGCTGCACCTGGGACTGGTTGATTGCGTAGATTGCCGCCCACATTATGCTACCGCCAACTACTATGCTCCAGAAAGTATGTCGTTTCAGGGGATCTGGATCAAAACTGTGATAGAAATGTCAATAATATGAAAATATATTGAAGGTTAACTTTGAGGACTTCAGCAACACAAACCTCTAACGTGGAATGGCATATAGAAGCCAATTAGCAGGCTTCCCATCCATGATATTTATTTTTGGATGCAAAATGTTTTTAGTAAATTTCCTTGGAATTAGTAATCACAGTTTATGTGATTCAAAAACCCTGCCCGTTTTTTATTGTAAAATAAACTCACTCACTATTGGACATAAGTCTGCTTGTGTACTTACTCAAAAGCTTGTAGTCGGCCTCCTTCACCAGCATCTTCCCAAATCTTT